AGAGTGCTACCCATCATTTATATTCTCACAGTCCAGCCCCATCATGGAGAATTTCTCGGCCACCACAGCCTAAAATGTTCCCCTCTACCCTGAAATAAAAAGTAAGTAATCACTTAGAGTTCATTAATTAATAGCCATACTTAATGAATGCCCCTATATTTTTGGGATATACTAGGTGAAACCATCCCGCCCACAATATTAAACCACATATTAAAATTGTGGTTTGTGCTTATTCAGTAACGGAGTCCTGAAAGGTACATATAAAACCTCAGAAACATTCTGTATTCTGGGAAACACTGACTTGAATAAACGTAACCAAGTTTTTGTTGTTGATGTTGTTAACTATAGCACTTCTCACAGTCTTTGATATAATGATGCCCATGTTAAGAAACTCTACAAGAGGAAAAAACAACAGGCAGTGCTTCCCAAATGGATTTGCCCTTTAGAAGAGCACACCTATTAACACCTGCCCCAACAGCATTTTACCAACGTACTCTAAGAACTGCTGAGCTAATTGCTCAGCAATTCTATCAGCTGGACAGCACTAAGTAGAAACCATATTTTCTACCAGAGTAAGAAACTAAATTTGCTTTGTTTTAGGATGCCATCAATTGATGGACACTGTACTAACATAACAGGTTACAGAAGAAGAAAAAAAAACTGTACTTTAAATGTGTTTGTATATATTTTTTTGAGATGGAGATTTGCTTTTGTTGCCCAGGCTGGAGTGCAATGGCACTATCTTGGCTCACTGCAACCTCTGTCTCCCAGATTGAAGCAATTCTTCTGCCTCAGTCTCTTGAGTAGCTAGGATTATAGGTGCCTGTCATCATGAGCAGCTAATTTGTTTTTGTGTTTTTAGTAGAGACGGGGTTTTACCATGTTGGTCAGGCTGGTCTCAAACTCCCGGCCTCAGGTGATCCACCAGCCTCAGCCTCCCAAAGTAATGGGATTACATGTGTGAGCCTCTGTGCCCAACCTAAATGTGTTCATAATTTTTAAAATCGATCTGGACTTCTGAAATCAGAAAAAAAAATGTATTTTAGAAATGAGCTAGTACAGTATAACTAGTGTTTTAGTTTAAAAGCACCCTCTAGGAAAATTGAAAACAATGTTCTAGGAATGGGCCCTGACTCTCTGTGACTCAGAAATAACAGTCCTAATGACCAAAGAGAAATAAAGTGTTATAATGACCATCTCTCAACAGACTTATTAAAGGGAGAAAGAAATCATGTACTGAGAAAAGTGAGCAACAGTGATAACAGGCTATCCTCACACTGGAAAAATATCCCAGCAGTAAAAAGCAGGGGTAACACCCAAAATATAAACATCAGGTTATGGGAAGGAATTTTAAAATAGAAATGTTCCCTACTTATACTAAGGGGGAGAAACCATTTAAATTAGCTAACAAATCTTAAGAATGACTGTTCCTTCACCAAGTGCTGATTGCTGTCAGGAAGACAGGTTTGGGCCTTGCAGTTTTATCTACTAAAACACTAAGTGTACACTTGAGTTTTTGAATAGGTTTCTGATTTACTGATAGGTTTCTCTAGTGCTAATCATTTTAAACCTCAAACAAAGCACAAATGGACAGCTGAGATAAAGCATGACAGTGAGCTGGGATGCCATTTGGCATAGCAACACAAGAACTAGTTAAAGTGCTGCCTGACCTCCTCTCACACCTCGTTCATTTGGGCGCTACATTATGTAAACTTTATTTCTTCCTTAGGATGTTATCGCAGGAACTCTCCTGACTCAAGCAGGCTCCCACAGCCCCTCTGATGCAAAGCAGTCGAAATTCAAGGCCACAGTCTAGGTCATAGGAAGTCATGGTGAGCTCTCAGCATAGGACTATGGCCTGGGGGAAAAGGAAAAGAGCTTAAGATTGGGCTAAATCCCCAAAGTGCTTGATTATAAGCTAAGTTACACAGGATGCCACAATAAAACTGCTCAGCTGCCCCTGAAAGCCAGCCGGCCTTCTACCCTCTTAGAGACCAAGAAAGGGTCTCAGCCACTGCCAGTGCTACCACCATTCCCCAGAAAGAATGAGAGGCCTTTGCCAGGACTAACCACCATGGGACATTTGTCGTGGGGTGTACTTCATGCACCCTCCAAGGCCTGGGTAAGTTGTCCATTCAGAGAAGACACCACTGCAAATTCTTCTTAAACTTTTTCCCTAGGTGATCTCTTCTATCCTCCAACCTTAAGGTTCAAGCTGTCAGAACCGTACATAACCTCCTTTCCACAAATGTCTGAGGTTTCTCCAAAAAAGGAAATAGGGTGGTTTTTGGATTTTAGAAATTATAAAGGTCATCAATCTGGCACTACCCAAGGGTGATCTAAAAATCTGAAACTACATATTTTACAGTATGAAAAGAAGGGGGAATCCTACCTTTTTGTAAAATTCATCCATTTGAAGAGCAATCAGAATTATTAAATCCAGATAATGGTAAGTGGCACAGGCATTGGAATATAAAATGCCTAAGGAGACTTCCCAACACAACCCCAAAGAAACCCTGTCTCTGTATATGACCTAGCAAAATAATGGCATTTCAGAACAAACTCCATCTTTCTACTCTCTCCCTCCCCGTAAATTAGGGATTCTATAGGCATGGTCTGTAGCAGCATTAACATCATCTGGAACTAGTCAGACATGCAGATTCTTGGGCCTCCACCCTAGACCTAGAGAATCAGAGACTCTGGCAGCATAGCCCAACAATCTGTGGTTTAACAAGCCCTTCAGATGATTCTGATGCTCAAATGTGAGAACCACTGCCCTAGGATTGGGGAAGATGCTGCACCTAAGGTGGCTCAGGAGCCTATGTGAACCCTTTTTAACTGAGTGAGAATCTCACCTGTCCTTGCCTTCAATTGATACTGGCTTTTAATCTTCATAAACTGATGTCAGAGATTTAGGAGTTGAGTCCTTACTTAGTTCAAGGTCACTATTAGAGGTCAACTCAGAGCTCCATCCCAGGATCTGCTGACTTCTTCATCAGCCCTGAGATTCAAACTAAGGCCTTGCTGACCATGCCAATTCTGGGGCCCAGGACCATGAGTGTTGTAAGGCCACCCCAGTCATCTCCTAATCTACATAATGCTACCTTGCTCAGATAAATATGAGGACTGGAGCTCCAATTCTTAAAATCAAAAGAGATGGATTTGAGGAGAGAGAAAGAAAAAGGGTAAACAGCTGCTTCCAAAGGACCAAGCAACTAAATCACTTGGTGAGGAGTGAATCAGAGAGACATATTAGATGTCTTATTATAATTAAGAATTAGCTCATTCAAAAAAAAAAAAAACCTGCTTAAAGAGCACAGAGACAATACCTAAGACCTGAATGGTGCTTTAAAGTTTTCTTAGCACTTTTCATTTCCATTATCTCATCTGAGTTCACAACAACCCTGCAATGGAGGGAGGTAAGGCCACGATTATCTCTATTTGACAGAAGAGAACACTGAAGTTCAGAGTGGCTAATCATTTGTCCAGTGGCACTGTCATTAGCTGTAAAGCTGAAACTTGACCTCAAGTCTGTCTGACTCTAGAACTGTGTAGGGTATCCACACCATGTGATTCCCACAGCCAGAAATCTGTCCCAAAGCAGACTACCCCAAGGAAAAAGCAGAGAGAAAAACAGGCAGCTGAAATGGTGACCCCCTAAATCCTGACACTTGAGCAATGTGAGGGTGTCCCTTTAAGAACTTAACACACAAACCCAACAGCCAAGGTGTTCAGCCAAAAAAGAAAAAAAGAGAGGCATATTTCTAGCCTGCATAATCATTTCTGGACCGATTCCCACTAGCAGCCTCCGAGGCGAACAGCGGCTCATTGCCTCGGCTGAAGCTCCTCCACCCCCAGGGTTATGACAGCGCAGCTCTGACTAGTGTGCAGGCAAAACCCCAAAACTCAAAACAAGATGTGAAAAAAGTGGAGCCAGGAAAAGATCGTCGGCATCCTCCACACCCTTGCAATCCGCACGATGCCAGTTCCAGGGTCCTGGAGTCGCCTGGAAGGCAATCTTAGGAGAGGGTGGAATGAGGTGGAAGTTCCTGTGGACCCGCCGACCCTATTCTCTTCCACCCAGTCCCTAGGGAAGTGTAATAGGAATGGGAGAGGGTTCGTTATGAAATTCTGGGACCAGAACCAAAGGCAGATACACCCCGGGGACTTTCTCCAAAGGAGAAATATGTTTTTCCACATTCTCCACCTGCAGGTCCTGTCCTCTGCGAAGATGAACTGGGTAGGGTGGTGAGGTGGCGGGGTGTTGTAAACCCGAGGAAAGGCTGGAGGGAAAATCGAGCCACCCACCTACTCCAGCCACGTTGCCCGCTGGTGTTGGTGAGGCTCGATGACGGCGTGCACCCCGAGCGCGAATTCGGAGCCTGGCGCCCTTGACCCCCAAGATCGTCTGAGATCGGAAAGGGGGCATCGCCCAGTGCCAGCGCCCTGGGGGCAGGGAGCCGAGCCCGCCAGAAAAGCTCGCCTCAGTTTTGGCAGTAATGATTTGCCTAGAAGATACCAGAGTTCGCGAAGATCGGAGTGATTCGCGGATTTCTGCGATGAAACTAGGGGCGCAGCGACCCCGAGTTCCCCACACTGGGGACCTCGAGGCGGCATTCTCGGGGCCCATCCCGTCTTGGGGCCAGCGTGGAAAGAAGGGCTCCATTCTCAACTTTCTCGGAGAAAATCGCTCCGTTCCATGGCTTGCCCAATACTGCCCGCACAACGGGTTCCAGGGTTGGAGAGAACCAGGAACGCGAGTCTCTCCGCGCGCACGAAGCAGCTGCGCCCGGGCGCGCGGCCCCCTCTCCCGCCACCCGCCAACTTGGAAGCATCTCTCCGGGCGCCAGCCTACTCCTCCGGCCTCACAGCGGGACGCCTACCCCGGCCACCCGCCTCGGACAGAGCGCCAGGCGCCCAAACAGCCGCGGCGACTGCAACCGCAACCCGTCGGCTTGGCCTCCGCCCTGCCCGCCCGGCTCCCCTGGCCCCAGTCTTACCGTGCAGCCTGACTCGTGCCTCAGCCGTGCCAGTGCGCGGCACGCGTCCCAGCACGCGAGGCTCCTCCCCGGGGGCTCCCCCGCGCGGGGCTCCGGGCTCCGGACAAGGCTCAGCGGGCCCGGGTGCTGGCTCGCCACCGCTGGCGGCTCCAGCGCCCGCTCCTGCTGCCGCGCGCGAAAAGGGAGGGGTTGGGGGAAACTCCCGGCAACTCCAACTCCGGGCCCCGGAGCTCCAGCTGCAGCCGCGCGCCCGCCCTCCCGCCGCCGAGTGCGAGCGTCTGCGAAGCAAACCTGCCCCCGCGACCGCCTCCGAGCATGCTCAGTGCCGCGTGGGCGAGCCCGAGCGCCCTAGCCCGGGGCAAAGAGCAGCGTCAGGGGGCCTGGACCCAGCCCCAGGCTCCGGAGCGCTGAGGTCTGGAGGAAGGGAAGGGCCTATGTAGAGACGGAGGCCCTGATCCAAGGTCCCGGGAGAAACCCGTCTGGGTGGGAGAGCAAGTGCGACTTTCACGGCTTGTGAGAAGTTTGTGGGCTATAAAGGTGGGCTGCTTCTGTGAGCTTCTCTGTTAGATTATATTCGAAAGGACAACTAGGAAACATTTTCTTTCCCTCCAGGAAAAAACGAATAGACCCAGCCCGAGGGATTTTTTACCCTGTGCGCTGGTTCCTTTATTCTTTTCTTTTATTTATTTTTTATTTTTTTATTCTTAGGGTAGCAAACTCCAAGAGCTAATGGGGCCTGACAGGCACTATAACTGGGCGGAGGCGAACTAGAGAGAGCTCCAAGAGCTCTCCACTGTTCTGCTCTCAGTGTCCATTGCTATCAGGCAAGAATTAGACCTAGTTTTGCTAGATTTTCTGATTTTTCCAGAAATGACGGAGTATATTCATGTACGATAGCCTAATTTTTAAAATCTTGATAACAAATTCATTTTTCTCAAAACACTCTGGACTAAACAAAACATATTTGGGTCCCCTCCCTGCTGAACTCACCCCAAACGGTGATTTGAGAATTGTGTGCATTCTTTTAGCGAAGCGGTGCTGAGTGCTCACTGTGGTTTGGGAACGTGCTGGAAAGGATCCAAGATGACTCAGAACGTCTTCAAAGTACTAGTTACTAGGGGAAATGGGTTTTCCTGACAGAACAGCGCTACACTTAAATGCTGGAGCCTCGTTCAAGAAGAGAGAGGTTACTAATGTAGAAAGCGGTTGTAAGAACTTCTGGGAAATATCACTAGTAAAAGCACCTGAGTGGGGAATCACTGCAGGGCTAGTAACACCGGTGTGCACCGCGAGCGTTTGTGCCCCTGGAAGGCATTTTTGAGCCTGAAACAGAAGGAAAAACCAATAATACTGACCCCGTCTTTATTTAAATTTTTGATATTTTTTCATCACGCATTTTTAACATTAATTTTGATATTTTGAAATACTGCATTAAAATATTAACCTTGATTACTGAATTCTTTGGTGAACATTTCAATGTTGTGACCCACCTCACCCTAGCCTGGCCCTGATGGTGGTACACAGACCTGCTTGGTTGGAGTGCAAGGGATAAGCATCAGCGAGGTGAAATGGGAAAGAGGGTTTGAGCAGTGGTTGGGGGCTCATGCGGAAGTCCTGACTGCCAGCCTGTGGCGCCTGCACTTTATCTGTAGACTGTGGCTATAGCAGAGATGCTGAGGGAAGAGAGAATCCAAACTGAACTCTGGGGAGATGGACTGGGCAGCAGACCCAGGAAGGTAGTTGGAGGGGAAGAATGGGAGAAATTGGGATACCTAGGGTATGTTCACTGCTACAGTTTTATGAAAATCAGAAAAAAAATGCCTGATAAAGTAAGTTACTTGTGCTCTCCTTGTCTCTGTATGGGGCTAGCTTAGTGCCAGTGAGTAGGGCTCCAGGGTCCTGGTCTAAACCTCAGCCATTTCCCCACCAGGCTTCCATGGGCAAGTGGCTCAACCTCTAAGCTGCACTTTCCTCATCCCTGGAATGGAAAACAATTCTTACGGTGTTTTTGTGAGAATCCAAAGAAATATTTGTCTAAGGGCTTTGAAAATGTTAAGTTCTTATCTACACATCATCTATGTAAAATCTGAATTGAAATAAGGACCTTTTAGCTTGACGAAAATGGTCCTAAGTAGCAAGCTTCTTTTATTTAGCCACACTTTCTAATGCGTTGGGATGATATTTACAAAACTTTGGAATCAGCTTTTGGGTAACTCAATACTTTTTTTGAAGTAAGATATTACTGTACTAGCTTCTATTGCCAGTCACCTCCTCCCTCCACTCCCTTCCTTTTTTATCTTCACTTCATCTTTTTATTCTCAATTTTGCAGATCTAGCCAGGATGACTCTTCCCCCCTGTACAAAGTGTCCTCTAACTCATGTCATGTACTGGTTATCATGGTAGTGTCTGCCTCAATCAAACACCTGGGACCCACCTTAGTGTGGAAGGTGATTCTCCTTGCAGGCAACCTCATCTGTTGCTGCATTCATTTAGAACAAACTACTGCTTCTCTATGGGAAGCATTTTAAGCATGCAGAACTCTCGAAGAAAAGAAAATGCTTGGATGTTTACACAAGAAGCCTTCCAGAAGTCATGGAAAGGAGGAAGTACCTAGCCCAGGATCTATCACATAACAAGTAGTTACAAATATTTGCAGAATCAATAACAATTTCTATCAAAATCTTCTGCATCTCTGTTTCGCCTACCACAGTGCCTAGGAATTATTATTATTTTTTAAATCACAATAATGGTAAGGTCATAAAGAAGAAAAAGAAGAACAGGAACTAAACATTTATACCGGGCGGGGTTCTGTACTTTAACAAGTAAAATGCTTTGCTTGCATTTTAAATTGTATTTTTAATTCTTATTAGCAAATAATACATGGTATTAAAAAAAATTATGTGCAAAAAAGCTCAGTACAGGAGGAAGCAAGTTTTCCTCCCCAAGAAAGACTAATGCTGCCTGCTTCTTGCATATAGTTATAGAACTACCATATGCATAGGAGAGCAAGCATAGTCATTTTGTTTTCCATAAAATCAAATCATGAAATGATAGAATTGAAAAAGACTTTGTGGTTCATCTAGATGTTAAGTTAGAGGGTTTTAAATTGCCATTCTGGGAAAGAAAAGAAAAATGTAAAAGTGATCTTCCCTGTGGCATAAGTAAACTGATGGTTGTAAGGATGCCGGATCACATGGCAAAACCCTCCGTGTGAATGTTAAGTGATACAAGGAAAAAATGAGTTCATCTAAAGTTGCCCTGAAACTCATAATGCCCACTGTCAACCTCAGCCTAAAACACCCAGGGATATAGACGTCTTAGGTTGCCTAGGGCTATGGAAGGAAGTGCTGTGTAAATAAAAAGAAATAAATTGACATGGACACCGAGGGTTTGATCTGGAATTGAGCATTATAACGTGGCTATTTTGAACAGCATCTCTTATGCATTCTCAATCACATTATGTCTTCAACACTAGTAAAGTCTATATTTATTTATTTATTTATTGCTACATGGTATAGCAAGTAGCTTTTCAAATTCTTCATTCTGATGATGTAATTTCAGATAAGAAATTCAGGAAGTCATCAGCTTATGAAACTTTGGGTTGAACCATATGCAACTGCCATTTTTATCCATCATAGTTTCGAAAATGTTGGAAATTTCAAATTTTTCCATCTCGAAAAAGATCTTCTTAAAATTAGTTTTTGTTCTAGAACTATAAGAGGACTTCCATTAAGTTTTTTAGAATACCACTCATTTTCCTGCAAGGACTGTGTCACTAAGTTAATTCCAAAAACCCTATTTAATGTTGGGATTTGTAATGGTACCAGATGCGCATCTGGTCCTAGGAGCTGGGTCTATTCTGTTCAACAGGGTCAAGAAAAAGAAAGAAATTTTTCTTCTTCTCTTGAGGGGTATAGTACCAGCCTGTCTGGGTCTTGAAATAGGTGAAAATAATTACTTTTCTTATTGCTCTTTTTGCATCTTACTTTTTCAGTATTCTCCTGAAATCCTTTTTTCATGCACCTATTATCCTTGTTCTGCCTGGCCTTTTTCTATCTCAATCAGCTTGTCTTTTGCTCTCTATTCTTAACAATCAGCATTCATTTACCATGCTGCAAGTTAGAACTAAGTAAAATAACTTGATTAAATTAATTCACACTCGTGTGCAAGACTATCAGCCGTTCCAAAGACATATGCAATTTTAAGAGTATCTTATAGTCTCAAAGGAACATTCCCGTAAGAAAATTCCAGTTTGAAAGATGACTAGAGAAAGAATCCTGGTAGTGAGGGGCAGAAATAATATATTGAGGAAGAGGAACATTTAGTTCAGTTCCCCATTTTTCTACATTTTGTAATTTCTTCTCATCTTTTTAATTTAAAAATATGGATTCTTTTAAAGTTTTGGATTTCGTTTTGACTTTCACAGTGGCTCTCCTGCCAATAAGAGTGAGCAACTCCAGACTAGGGAGAGGTCTGCACCTACTGCATGTATATATCGTTTAAAATTTGGGAATGAAATGCGTCACATCTGGTGATATGAGTATGATGGGATCTGGGAGACTTCCAGAATTCAGATGGGCTTATGGAGCTTATATTTGCGACCCTTTTCTGTTTCTTATACAATTAGCCTTGGTCTGTGGTTTTATCCTTTAAGGGATCTAGCGGTCTATAACTGGAGTCCACCTTCTTTTTTGACTCAGTTGCCACAGAACAATGTTTTATCTCTGATTTACTAACCATGTAGTTCCTTCTCTGCTCTGCTTTTAAGAACCAAGATAAATATTGACTATTGACATCAAATTTGGTGACCTCTGGCCCACTCTTATTCACTATAAGAAGAAACATTTCTGAGGGACGTGGCAAACTGTGGCTCTCATTTCTTCCTCTCACCTTTATTGGTTTTCCGTTGTTCTCTAAGCTTCTCTTCACTTTTCTAATTATTACTTTATTCCCTAAACTGCGTCAGCTTTCATATCCCAGTGTTTATAAGTAAGACATAGATTAGAAGGAGACATCGTTCCTTGGAAAAAAACAAAAAGCAGTTTTTTCTTGCAAAAAGACATGATTACATCCTGATCTTGGTTGCTGGGTAATCATTTCATATTTCTTAGCCATGCCCTTTTAATCAGATTATGTTGAAAAACTCACACTTTGAATGAAGAGACCTTCCAAACAGACTTTGTGTGAGCAATATGGCTGTTTATTCACTTGGGTGCAGGTAGGCTAAGGCCAAAAAGGGCATTGGCAAAGGGCAGTGGGATAGGAATTGGTTTTATAGGTTTGGGT